CATCTTAGGCTGCCACGTTAATACGCCCTTGTGGGCCCATAATGGCGCCACTTGTAATGTCTCTTAAGGTGGCGTTGGTTTTTAAGGCCCGACAGCCAGCCCTTCCAAAATCAAGGGGATAGAAAAGGGTTCTACAGCCAAGCAAAGTATAGATCTTATGTGCAGAAATGGATATATATGTATATATATATGAGTCTGAATTACTTGGCTCCTTGCATAGCCAATCACTGTTTGTTGGTAAGGAAAAAGGTTAAAGTCACAGGGCACGAGAACTCAGACATCACTGATTCTGAAGATCAGGACTCAGAAGGATTCAGTCCTAATGTCAAAATCTGGAAATTATCTCCTTTTCTAACACCTATTCTCTGGCCTTGGCTTAGCTTGTTCTGGACCAGCAATGGATGATAATAATGCATTTATGCATTCATTCATTCTTTCAACAAATATTTATTGACTGTGTGCTTTTTGGTAGGTTCTGTAGAAAAAGAATACATAGAGTAGAAAGGATATAACAAATTATATGAGGTTAAGTGGCAAGGATTTTTCTAAATTTATTAGAGAAAAGAGTCATCATTTAAGCTATGTATCCTTTGTTTTGGTTTTCTTGGGGGGGAGGTTGTTTTTGTTTTTGTTTTTAAGATTTGAAGCCAAGGCTGGCCCGTGGCTCACTCGGTAGAGTGTGGTGCTGATAACACCAAGGCCACGGGTTCGGATCCTATATAGGGATGGCCGGTTTGCTCACTGGCTGAGCGTGGTGCTGACAACACCAAGCCAAGGGTTAAGATCCCCTTACCGGTCATCATTTAAAAAAAAAAAAAAAAAAAAAAGATCTGAAGCCAATAAATTATTTTTTAAGAAAATTAAGAAATATTAAATCAAAATTATTTCTTTGCTTTTATTCTTCCACTTAAAGTTATAGAGCACCAAAGTCACAGTATTAGAGCCTAATTTTTTAAAAAAGAGACTCTAGATCTGAACAAACTTGAATAAAAATTGAAAAGGTAATCCAAAGTGTTAGCACTGCACTTCTTCTGGATCCTGAAGCTCAGAGCCAGAGTTTCTTTGTAACTGGTACAAGGTCAGAGAATGAGAAAATCTGGACTGGTTCTTACAAAGTGTTAACCTTACTGCTTAGGCAAAAAAGAAATCTTAATATATTTGACAAAGCTGCCCCAGTGTCATAAGTGTTGGTATCAGTGACTATTTCTTTCTCAAAATGATACTTCATGTTGATTTGACCTCATTTCTTCATCAGTAGGTCTATTCAGGAAAGGAGAGCCAACTTGTGAGACTATGGGAAATGGGGAATAGAAAGGGACACGTTGAAAGCCAAGCCTTTCACCAGCTGGTCCCACACCCAGGCAGGGACACTCTCAGCCCAACCCAGGAACACAGATCAGAGATTTTCAAGGTGGAGAGGCAGCAGGATCACAATCCAGCAATTTTCCTGTATGATAATTACTCCAGCAGAAAATAGAGAGGCGTTTATGGCACTCCCAAGACACAGTGTTTAATGGATTATCCATTACTTTCTCTCTCTTCACTGAAACCTTTTAACACAACTGTTTACAAGAAGCAAAATAAACTGATTGTGTTCACATTTTTCTTAACACTTACCCGTCCTGTGGCTGTGCTCATGAGCTCTGCCAGGGGGAGAAGGAAGGAAAGAGGCCTGGAAGACCAGCCAATTTTCAAAGCAGTCCCCCGGTGATCAAGAATCAGCTGTGTGTAGCACAGATCCAAACATGTGCACATACAAAGCTTCAGGCATAAGGTAACCACGCCCTTACTGTTTTCAGTGTAATGCTTGTCTTATGAAAAAAGCATTGGACAACAGGTAAAGAAGTTTCTCAAGTGTGTTTTATCTTCAACATTTAAAAGCTAACTTTACAGCCTATTTTAAAAATCAGAACTAATTTAATAGAATGTAATGCTTTGCTCTTTTTTTATTTTACTTATTTATTTTATATATTTTATTTATTTATTTTTTTGGTCACTTTAAAATTTCACCAACACAAGCATATGAGTAATTGCCTTTTTCAACTGAAGTTAATCTAGAGAATATGTCTTCTTGACAAGTTTTAAAGAGAAAAATGAATAATGTGGTAGAAAAGAATAGCCATTTAGACCTTGAAGGGCATACATTTTTATGAAATATGTTAGCCCTTTCAACACTGCTAGTATCTTTTTTAATGCAAAGGAAAATACTTGTTAATGATGACTTTAATCCTTTAATTACAAATACCATAAGTAGCAATAGGGAGAATACCAGAAGAAACTAAGTAGTCTTTAATAAATCCATATACACTTATTCTCTGAGAGTGGGAAAAACACACTGTCTTTCCTCTGCACTATCTCAGCAACAATCAACACAGATGACTGACTTCTGACTTCTGTGACCAAATGTGTGCAGATTTCTCTCCACTAGCATAAAAAGCTAGCAATTCTCCAGTGGACACCAGCTGGGTGTCCTCTAATTCAATTCAATTCCAACACTGTACCTGGAGATAGGGTCAGATCCCACAGGTTGAGGGCTCAGTCCCCAAGGCTGCCCCCATTTCAGATGCCAGTCGCAAGCCCAGGCCTCTGGGACTTCTGACCAACCAGCTATAAATCAGGGTTCCCATATCTTCTTCCTTGGGTTTGATTAGTTTGCTTGAGTGGCTCACAGGGCTCGGAAAAACACGTACTTATATTTACCCATTTTGTAAAGACATCCAAAAGATACAGATGAAGAGATGCACAGGGCAAGGTGTGGGGGAACAGGCGTGGAGCTTCCATGCCCTCCCCAGGCATGCCACCATCCAGGACTTTCCACATGCTCAGCTATTCAGAAGCTCTGCTACCCTATGCTCGTGGGTTTTTATGGAAGCTCCATCACATAGGCATGACTGAAGCAGTATGGACAACCAGGTAGAAATGCAATTGGACCAAAAGGGCCTGATCTAACATTAACAAACTAGGTGGGGAAACCCAGCAAGGCCTGTTTGTTCAGCTTCTCCTCAGCCTCTCTGTGCAGCTTTCCTTCCTCCTGGGTATGACGCCAGGACCCCTTCTGAAATGGGGGTCTTGTGATCTACAATCAGACAAGGTAGGCCAGAGAGTTTCCTGTCTCAGGGAGAAAGAGGAGCAGGTGAAAGAAGGTCAGGAGAAGATCAGAGAGTAGCATGAGCCAGGAACCACCAAACCAATATACAAATATCCTAATGTCACGTTCTCACTTACCAGTTCCCTTCTGCTGCTAACTCTCCTTTCTCCAAAATTGATTAAGTAAAAAAGATGTGAGCACCTATTATATGTACTGTTGCAGGCGAGAGAGCTGCAGTTATGAATAAAACAAAATGCTCACTCTCATAAAGCTCTTTGTCTACAAGGATACCAACCAAACTTCTCCAGATTGCATTGATGTAAATAAAACAATTACAAAAACTGTTAATTATCTCAGGTTCTGTTTTCTGGCTTTGTCTCATCAGTATCCCAGAAACTTCATAAAACCTGATTCCCAATTTCAGGGATTGCTGTTGCTAATAGCCCTGATCCCCCTGGGTTTTATTTCCTGTGAGAATTAATGCCATGTAGGGAAAAAAAGAAAATCAGAGAAGAATGCTCCCACTTAATTTAGAGAGATTCTTTAAATGTGCAGTAAAGGCAAGGTTTCATTTCATCTTTTTAAGAGGAAGTTTTCAGGAGGTGTTTGATAGAGGAGAGGGAACTGCAGACCACAGAGTGGAGCATAAACAAAGGAGACGTCTGCAGCGAGAGAGTGTGTGATGGAGGAGAGAGAAACACAAATCAGGAATGGAAACAGACATCCAAACCTGCAGCAAAGAAGCACACAAACAGAGGTCAGTAGAAGACCTTGAGTATTAGAAAATAATGTTCTTGATTGAAGCCAGAAATAAGGGAAAGGAGTAACAATCGCAGCTGACGTTCTCTTGTGTCAGACCTGGTCTAGGTGCGTCACATTCATTACAAACAGCTAAGATATCTCGGGTGTTTATGATGGGCAGTCATGTTCCAGTTCAGTACTTACACAAGTCATCTTGTTTAACCCTCGCAACAACCCTATGAGCTAAGTGCCATTATTGTGCCCAATTTACACAGCTAGGAAGTGTTAGGACCAGGATTCCAGCCCAGTAGTCTGGCTCTAGACCCCCACCACTAATTCACGCACACCCTCCTTCCCCCAGACAGGCTGGCTGCTGCTGACACTGCCAGCGCTCACCAAAACCTGAGCTCCTCTTCTTCCTGGGCACGTGGTGGAACTACTTCTCCTGGCCCCTTGCAGTGAGACATGGGCTGATTCTGAATGTGAGTCGCTGTAATGGGCCCGACTTCCCTACAACCTCTCACAGGGTCGTTCACCACTATCTGTTCCCCCACCAGGAGTCAGATGCAGGGACCCGGTGGAGGACCTGAGGCCCTAGGAGATGGCAGAACCACCAGACAGACTCCATCTCAGTCCAGTTGCCAAGCACCTGATTGGACTTTGATGTTTTCAAGAAATAACCTGTCTAGTATTAACCACTAAGATTTAAGAGTTACCAAAGTAGTTACTATTTAACTTGATTAATACAATGGGTGAGGTCAATAGTGATTCTACTGAAAGGTGATTTTTATCAGTAAGCTTTAAAACAAAAAGTTAGGAATAGAGTTAAGATAGGAAATTAGAACACCATGAGAATAAACACGTGGGCATCATTCAATTGATTCTGTCATATGTTCTAAGGGCAGGAGGCTTTTTGCCATTAAGACCTCTTGTTTTCTGTAAAAGCTCCCTGTCATCTGTAAATATAAAGGAGAATCTCAGCAAAACAACAGAGTGGTTATTGGCTTTGTTTGTAGAGCTAGCACTTCTTCAGAATTCTTGATGACAAACAGCCTGGACTAATGAGGAACCTGTACACTCGTGGAGGCTGAAGAGGCTTGTGAGCACAGAGCTGGTGCAGGGCGCATCTCCTAGTGGAGTCAGCCTGAAACTGCGCTGGGGAGTCCCAAGGAGACCTTTGTGTTCAGGCCTCCTTTTCCTTCAGTCTCCCAGCTGCAGAGAGGTCAGTGAGAGGTCAGTGAGAGGCTGGACTCCCAGATTCTATCCATGCATGTCACCCAAGGGACTTCTCCAGGCCAGGTTCCGCACCCTCCCCACTGCTCTGTTTGTCTGAATATCTAAGGCCCTAACACTCTCATACTCCAGGCAATTGCCTCTTCACTTTGATATTTGAACCACTCGGTCACTGGGGCTACTAAGGGCCATGACCGCTGGGGACATAAGAGGAGAAGGGGTGTGTGATTGGGGCTTGAATGGGGTCCTTGGTGCTCTATCAACCACAGAATGCTTGCTGGGCTGCACTGGGAAGGTTTACGTAACCTTCCCACATCCTGCCAACCACCATAATACACATGGTAATTGGCTGGTGAGTGGTAAGGAAGAGGCAATTTGTGATGTTAAATGGAGAACTCAAAAGGAAAGGAGACAAATGGAGTGTGGTCATTGCCTCCTCCTCTGTTCTCCTGCCTTGAAAGATTCTTCTGGATTCACCTCTGCCATGGGAGTGGGGAGAAAAACCCAGGCATAGAGAGCCACGGCAGTACGGAAAGACTGACATCTTAGAAGCAAGCCTAAATCACTAGACGGGATAAGACCCAAATGTTCTCTAAAGGTAAATAGAAATGATCTTGTTCTTGTTTAAAACAAGGGCAATCTTTGAGCTCTGTCTTTAACCTCCTAGGCTTGGCTCTTGGTCAAGCACTGCACTTATTTAGCCTGGCAGGTCCCCAGTTTAAATTTTTTAAAAAAGCAATCATCCTTGTGTGCCCTACAGAAGCAACGAGGCAGCTAGTGTTCTCAGTGCCTCCCCAGCACCAGAGGGCTCTTGACTCTGTTCTAAAAGGTAGCCTGATTGGTATCCCTAAGAGAAAAGCACAATTTATTTCAATATCTTCTATGAGTAGCTGTTAATACCATTAAAATCATAGAACTTTAGAAATGAGGGAGATCCTATGAAACTTCATTTTCCTCATTTGTAAAATGAATATGTTGGACCAGAACATCTCTAAGTATCCTTCCAGCTATAAAAGTCTATGACTATATATATATATATGTGTGTGTGTATGACACATACACATAAAAGGAGGTCATAAAGTCACAAGTTGCACATTTTTTTTAAATTAACATTCCAAAATGTATACATGACCCATTTTTTTAAAGAAGTTAGTCTCAGCAAAGTGTGAACGTGAAAGCAATTTTAATCTTTCCCACCACTCCACAGTAAACGCACCCTGTAGACCATTTTTTCAGGCTGCAGATAAAATATCAGGCAGGTCCCATAGCTTTTCCTGGCCCCAGAACAGTCTGTCATTCTAAAAGTTCAGAGTAGTTTATTATCAAAACTCCATCTAAACTTCTCATCTAACAAAATTCTCATCTAAACTTCTAGCTCAGGTCTGCTTCTGGTTTGGAAGCCTGCAGTAGAGGACTGGTATTGTTGGCTTCTTCTTTCCTCCTCTACCCACCTCCTCTCCAACTCCCCAGCAGATGCTTTAGACCCCTCAGGGTCAGACCCAGTGAAGGAGGGGTGAGGGAGAAGTCTTGCACTCTGGCTGGCCTCAATGTCCTCTGGGTACCAGCTGGAGCACAGTGGCCTCTTTCTCCAATGGTTCTTCTTAAAGACCATCTCATTCCATCTCTCTTACTACAAACAAGGTCTCTCCTCCAGCCAGCAGCTTGTGCCTCCCACCAGCCCCTAGATTCTGACTGCTCAGCCTTCTATTGGAGCTCCTCCTCTACCCTAGGAAGTTCTCTTGGGCAAGATCCATTTGAAGATGATATTGGCTTTTGTTTGGTGCTCAGGAAGCACGCACTCTTGCAGCTTGCTCCTGAGACACCTTCTTAACTCACAGGTAAGTCTCTCCTGATGGTCTCTTTGAAACCCTTCTTTCATAGCTTGAGGTGAGGGGTAAGCAGCCTCCTCTCCTCCTCATGGAGAACGAGGGGGAAAGACCCCAGGAGTTCAACTTTCTCCAGGGGCATTCTCTCCACATGTAAGTCTTTTCAACTTCCCAACCTCACAACCAGTGCATATGAAGCCTGGAGGGGATACGGGTTCATTCCGCCGGAACTGGTTCGTACCTCCTGACTATCCTGTGAGGGTGCTCTAGCCCCTCAGTTTAGAACGGGGAGACTTTTGACACCTACCGTTTTGTCCTTGATCAAATTTACAAACTGGTGAGTATCTGAGAATCATTTGTCTTCATTTATAACTAGGGCTTCATGCAAAACAACTCTCTGGTTCAGGCTCTAT